ATCCGAAAGAAATCAATACAGCGTGTAAAAATCCCCAGCTGACCCTGTCAAAAGCCTTTTTGGCATCTCATGACAGGGTCAGCAAGGGGATATCATGGCGCTCAACACTATCCAATATATACAAGATTATTCTAGTGCAGGTCTCTGATGATCTGCCCAGAATAAATCAAACCTGGTCCAGATGGACAACTGTCTCCACAAATGGTTTTACTCTATTTGCTAAGATTGATGCATATATTTTCATATCTGTGCTTATCAATTATATTGGTCTATCATTTTTAACATTTGTTGGGTCTTTATTGGGTTTCAGTATTGGGAGAATATTAGCTTATAACAGCTCTTTTGGCATTTTTGTTTTTTTAGCCATTCCGTTAAAAAGAGCCGTTAAAGGTGGTATTATTTATTTTTTCATAATTTTATAAAAGAGATTGCTAAATCCATTTGGACCAGGGGTCTTGATCAATTCCAATCTGTCAATCTCTCTCTCCACTTCATCTGGCTTAAACTCAGTTAAGTGAGTCGGAACCAGAGATTCTTGGGGTTTCTGTATCTATTAGATATTCATTTATTTCTTGGTTGTCTGATGGTATATCAAGATTATACAAATTACTATAGAATTTGTTCAAGAAATGTCTGATTTCTTCCGGAGAAGAGTATATAATTTGGTTATCGACCAACTTATCAACCCTGTTGATTGTATTTAGTTTTTTAAATTTTTTAGTTAGGTTCTTGTTAGCTCTAATCCCTTGATAATAAGTGTTTAATCTCAATTTGTTAATTTTTTTGTATCTTTTCTTCTGTTTGCTTAATTTGTTTTTGGAGTTCTAGTAGTGTTAACTTAAGTTGGTTCGTCAGTTTGTGTTTGTTTAATTTGGAAACATTAAAGTATTGTATAATGTTTTTTAGAGGGCAAACAGGGCTTTAATTTTATGTCACATATACATAGATATATTTTCATTAATTATAAAAAAATGCCAAAAAAAAACACAATTGTTTTTCACAGTTTTGGCAACAATAGTGTGTGCATAATATGTCCAGCTTAGAAAAAGTAATTCAAAATAAGTTCATTTATGTGTCTTGATTTATAGAGTATAAAATATGTACATGATTTCAGCTTATTTTGAAAGTTACAGGTCACAGAATACAAGGACTAAAATAAAATTCTAATTTGAAACAATTTTAGAAGTTAGTATGTTTATATTATAGACATCACAGGCTATTTACCTAAGGTTAGTTTGACACTTTTTACATAAACATTTAATCGCCAATCTCTGCTAAATATTGGAATAAAATTGTGTTTTTTTTTTCTCTATTTTGGCATATACACACATAAAGTTTTTGTAATGTGCATTTCGTAAAGCTGGTGTGTGCTATTCATGCACAGAACCCCATATTGTGTTCAGCTACATCTGCTGAGTATCAGTTTCTATAGTTGGACTTTTCGTAGATGGATTTGACAGGATGTCTCATTTTAGGGTTTTACAGCAGTGTGACTGTTCAAATAACCCCACAAAGAGTTTTAATTTGATAAAGCAGACACCCAGGGTATCTTATATGGTGTATATTGTGCCTTAACTTTTTTCATCAATTTATGTCAATGTTTGTGGTGAGGGGGGAAAATTGAATTTTTACATATATGCTGCATTTTGCTGAGTATTTCTTGCACTTGATATGTACCACTGTCATAAAACATCCCAAATTATGTTCAGTTACATCTTCTGAGTAAAACAAAAGGCCCAATGTATGACCTAGACACTATTTTGCAAAGTTACAGTGCTATAAAAGAGACGTGACAAGTTCAGGTTTTTAAGTGTACATTTTCATGGCGGGTTTTGATGGGTCCGTGTCCCACTTTGGAGCACTTGAGCAGGCTAAATATTCCAACTGCACCATAAAGGCATACCATTTCTTAAAGAAGACATCCCAGGGTATTTCAAAAGGCATATATTGAACCTTAGCGTGGGATCATTTTTCCCCTAACTTGTAGTAGTAATAAGCATTTTATATGCCTTTATGACACAGAAAGTGAGTTTGCACAGTATATTTTGCAAACTTTATGTGTGCTACAACTGAATAATACTTCATATGTTGCTCAGCTATGTCAGCTGAGTACAGCAAGAACCCCATATGTACCTTTACCAGATATATGTGGACATTGAAGGGGCACATTTGAGGCACAACCATTTCAGTTTTTTTCAAACTTTAAATTTTAACGCTGTGTCCATGTCCCATTTTAGCTATATAATCCAACTACCCCATAAAGGTGTACCATTTCTTAAAGAAGACATCCCAGGGTATTTCAAAAGGCATATTATGAAAACATATATTTATTTAACTTTTAAAACTTTTTTTTACTTTTTAAAACTCATTTCTAAACTTTTTTTACTTATGAATTTTTTCAAACTTTCTTAACTTTTTGTACACTTGTAAAAAATTTGATTAACTTTTTTTTACCGTTAACCCCTAACTAGCAGTAAGCAGCACTAACAGTAAATTCCCCACTTTCCCATAACTCCCACCCACCCCAGCTAGCAAAATATATAATAGTTAAATTAATTAATTAAATAAATTGAATCCCTGAGGGTTAAAAATTAAATAAAAGTTAATCCGCAGGGGTTAAAAAAAATTAGATCACAGTACAATACTGTGATCTATATTTTGATCACTGTAGGTAGTGATCAACTGACAGGGAAGGAGTTAATTTTTATTTCGACTGGGTAAAGGGGGGTGGGATTTTTATAACTTTTTTAAAATGTTATTAAAACATTTTTTTTATTTTTTTTACTTTTTAACATTAACCCCTAGCTAGCCTTACAACACATTTTCCAATTCGCCATTAACTTCCACCATATAGTTTCTCTGAAACTGTTATGTTTATAGAAAAAAGGGTTAACCCTAGCTGGACCTGGCACCCAGACCACTTCATTAAGCTGGAGTGGTCTGGGTGCCTATAGTGGTCCTTTAAGCGCATATATGTCTTCTCATGTATATAAATAATGAAATTATATCTTAGTTTAAATTACCCCATGTCACATCTTAGTGGTATATGCGCTAAGAGAAGGCAAGTCGATGAATACATATATGTTAAAGGACCCCAATTATAATAGCACCGTCTTACAACTATTCAACATAAAAATAATTGAGATATAAAATATATGTAAATACCATATTATCGAGATTTCAATGTATTTATATATCACCATAGAAACATCTACGCTCAAAGAATATATGCCAATGGATGTATCTCTGTTCAATAATCTCAAAACAATAAAAAAGAAAGAAAAAAACTCTCAGAAACCAAAACTGTCAAGTGCAAAAGCGAAGTATGATACCCAAATATTGCATTCTGGATTGGTGCATACATGTATAATACCCAAATATTGCATTCTGTCCACCATTTAAACTGGTGCATACACGGGTTTGTAGGAAACACTTTTAGAAAGGGAATGAGATAGGATCTATTTAATATGACTTTATTCATGTTTATTAATTTACAAACCCATTTCCAAAAATTTTAAAAAATAAAAACAATAAAAACAAATATTTCTATTTAGAATTGACAAACCCTTTCATGCTACAGAGATGTGTTATACTCCAATGAGTAATTGGATCAATAGTAATCCAAGATGAGAGGGATTCGCTTGACCTCATCAATTCCACTTTAAAGGTAAAAAATTTTGATTTTTATTTTGTATATTTTTTTTTCCTCCTCCTATTTTACAAAAAATATAATAAAAATGATAGAAAAAAATCAAAAATCAATATTTTCACATGGTCTTGATAGACTTTATAATCATCAAAAAAACTCCATAAATCAATGTCTAAATTCAATCCATGTGGTTGTAGTGTTTTTAATTTGTTTATCCAGAAAGTTTCTCTCTGAGAGAGCTTCTTAACTAAATTCCCTCCTCTCCAGTACGGGTCGACGTGTTCAATACGCATAAAGGAGAAGTTTTGCCAGTTGAATTTATTACAATTGTTACAATTAATTGTTGTTATGTGTATTATTGATTATTTTTTTTAATTCTTTATTTTTGCTTGTGCATAAAATTGCAGTGGATCCTGCATCGCCACAACAGCGAATGCAAGGGTTCTAGTACATTTAATGATACATGTTGAGTAGCATTGAAAACTGTTAGAGACATTACTTTGCATCATTTGAGGGATTAGCACAGATTTTTATATTTAAGGTATTGTAGCTAGTTAAACAGTTAAACATAACACAGCAATTGCGAGTAAACCAAGCAGCCATTTTATATAGGTTACATGAGTAGGTTAAAATAGTATGGCTGAAAAACATAAACAGAGTAGGTATCGTAGGTAAATTAGTAGCCCCGGTGGTTGGTGCATCAGAAAACAACAGCCATAATGGTACATTAAGTAAGGCTTCATTTGTGGTCTGCGTGGGATCATTGAAGTTAAAGGGCGTACGTTATGATGTGCATCTTGATGTGTAGGACTAGCAGTAAGTGCAGGATATATCTCACTGTATACATGGAGGTACAATATGCTATGCTGGTGATTTAAGATGTCATGCTTGATGGCAGTGGCGTACACGCTGGAAGATGACATCAGGGGAGAGTGCTCCCTCGCGCGCCCGCAGGACCGGCCGTGGGGCGACAGCAGGGTTCAGCCTCGGGGGGCCCTGAGGTGGCTGGCCACAGTGGGTACACACCGGGTCGCAGGGGCCCTGGTATGTACACCACTGCTTGATGGAGTGCATGCCTAAAATATGTAAATGTACCGCTGGGCGCAGAACCAGGATGGTTGATGTAAGCAGTTTTGTTGAACTCCCTATTGACTAATGTCCAGTAACAAAGTGACCATTGGTGCTGTCCATTATTTTAAATGAGGGAGTCTTAAATTTATGGGTGCAAGGGCTACAGGCTTTAACAAGTGAAATTTAAAATATTTCAACAATGACCGTCGGGGGTCCGGACCTTGGGTTATGCAGCTAGGCAGCGCTAGGTAATGCAAGTCCCCGTGGCCGTCCGCTTGTGTCAGTCAATGTCCACCCTGGAGGCTTGAGATGGAGACTTGGTGTGGAGGTGTAGTTTCAGCGGTTTGCTGGAATGCTGAGGGGTAGTCAGTGGGTGTGCAATGGCCACTATCGGTCCCCTGTAGCGGGTGTTGGGCCAGGTCGAGCGTTCCCGGCTTTTTTCCCAGGGTTGTGGCAACAGGGTGTCTGATTTCTTCCGGTGGAGGAAGCGGCAGGAAGCCCTCTGTCTGTGTCGCCGACTATGGTGTTTTGTGGTCTTTCGCCTGTAGGGGCCTTGCGCCGGAGCTGTGGCCCTGTTCTTTCTCTGTCCCTGTGGGCGTGCTCTCGTATTCACTGCTGCATGGGGAGTCTTCTTGCCCTGTAAAGGCTTTTCTAGCTCCTCTCCCTGATTTCTCTGAGCCTCCTGTGCCGATTGGGCAGCTGATGGTGGTAATCTGGTGCAGGCTTCAAGTTTAGCCCAGAAGCACTCAAGGATTTCATCCAATGTCGCCATGTGGTGGAGAGGTAAGCTGGTCGGGTGTAGGTTGCTCTGTAGAGCCAGTCCACGTGCGTCTGCCATCTTGCAGGGCTAGGTCTCAGTTCAGGGTTGCTACTGAGCTGACTTATTGGGTCAGTGTATGCAGCCGCAGCGGAGACCGGGATAACCCCATGCCGGTCTGAAGGGGGGTAAGGTGGCTCAAACCACTGTCTGGTCGCTAATAGGTAGGAGATCGGCTGCGTCTCCCACCCCTGTTGTGGTAGCAGGCCGCAGTAAGCTTCGGGCCCCCAAAGAAGCTGAGCAGAGCTTGTCGGTCAGTCCAGTAGGGTGTCACAGCTGGTCCCTTCAATCAAGGGTCAAATTCAGCTGTTCAAGTGAGAACTTTGTGCTTCATCTGCTTTTATCACAGGATTATCAGAGGAGCTCACTCAGCCAGCATCCTGCTCACTTAGTGGTCAGGCCCCACCCCCAATGATTTTTTTTAATGTTATTTTGGTGTTCCAAAATTCTCTCTTTAAGTTTTCTACACGTTCTTCCCACGTACTGTTTCCCACATGGGCATTGTAACATATACACAACATTTGTGGTGTTGCAATTAAAATTAGACTTAACTTTAAATTTTTCTTTGGTGGTTGAACTGATAAAATATTTATTTTGTATATATCTTTGATTTCTACAGCCTCTGCAAGAATTACATGGATTGAAGCCATGAATGTTTAGTGTTGTACCCTTCTTTGGAATTTTTAGTGCATAGCTTGGTGCCAGTATGTTTTTCACATTTTTTAAAAATAATAGGTGCCTTTTTTGGAAGTACTTTACCTAATATGGGGTCCTTACATAAGATGTCCCAATGTCTATTTAAAATCTTTTTTTATTTTACAATGCTGTGTATTGTATTGTGTGATGAAAGAAATGATCTTTTTGGAAGCTTTTTGGGGGTTTGGGTGTCATTAGATCTTTTCTATTCTTTTTTCCAATTTCTCTAATTTCTTTTTCAAGCAATGTTAGTTCAGATTTTTTTTATTATAAATTTGTTTTTCAGATGTTAAGCCTGTTCCTTATAATCTGCATCCCTTGTGCAGTTTCTTCTGATTGGTGTTAACTGACCTCTTGGGATAGTTACCAACCATTTTTCGTGGTGGCAACTTTTTCGATGAATGTCCCTGCAATACCGGGTCGACCCCTGCGACCCCTGCGACCCCGGTATGTACGCCACTGATTCTAATATTGTTGAATGGGTAAGGCAGTGGGTGAGTGACAGGCAACAGAGGGTTGTAGTTAATGGAGTATATTCGAAGCTTGGGCTTGTCACCAGTGGGGTACCTCAGGGATCTGTACTTGGATCCATTCTCTTTAATATTTTTATTAGTGATATTGCAGAAGGTCTTGATGGTAAGGTATGTCTTTTTGCTAATAATACTAAGATATGTAACAAGGTTGATGTTCCAGGAGGGATAAGCCAAATGGCAAATGATTTAGGTAAACTAGAAAAATGGTCAGAGTTGAGGCAACTGACATTTAATGTAGATAAGTGCAAGATAACATCTGAAGAAAGGGATTTAGGGGTGATTATTTCTGATGACTTAAATGTAGGCAGACAATGTAATAGAGCAGCTGGAAATGCTAGCAGAATGCTTGATTGTATATGGAGCAGTATTAGCAGTAGAAAGAGGGAAGTGCTCATGCCATTGTACAGAACACTGATGAGACCTCACTTGGAGTATTGTACGCAGTACTGGAGAAGAATATTGATACTTTAGAGATAGTTCAGAGAAGGGCTACTAAACTGATTCATGGATTGCGGGATAAAACTTGCGGGATAAGATGGGGGGATATGATAGAAACATTTAAATACATAAAGGGAATCAACACAGTAAAGGAGGAGATCATATTTAAAAGAAGAAAAACTACCACAACAAGAGTCTTAAATTATAGGAGCAAAGGTTTAATTTAGGTTTAAGGTTTAAATAATATCAGGAAGTATTACTTTACTGAGAGGGTAGTGAATGCATGGAATAGCCTTCCAGCTGAAGTGGTAGAGGTTAACACAGTAAAGGAGTTTAAGCATGCGTGGGATGGGCATAAGGCATAAGACTATCCTAACTATAAGATAAGGCCAGGGATTAATGAAAGTATTTTGAAAAATGGGCAGACTAAATGGGCCGAATGGCTCTTATCTGCCGTCACATTCTATGTTTCCATGTGTGTGTAAAAATGAAAATTGAACAACTACCACCACACACTTTCTCCAATTTTTTGACTAAAACGATTGCATCAAAGGCATCAAAACACTCCATATACAATACCGTGGGGTGTCAACTTTTCAAATATATGCACGCTCATGACAAGAAAATAAATTGGGATATCTGTAAAGGTACCCAAAAAGAAGATAGGCAAAGAACATATGTAAAGTTTAAAAAACACATGTCAGATGTTTGGCTTTGCACCCCCCAACTCACAAAAAAGGGTGGTATCACTGTACTCAGGAGATGTTACTGAACACATATTGGGGTGTTCTTTGGCAGTAACAGTAAAGTAGAATGTGTGTGAAAAATAAAACAAAAAATGACTACCCAAACATCTGACAGAGACTGGCGGTAGAATTAGTGCATGGAAAGTGTTAAAATGCCACCATTTGAAATACCCTAGGGTGTCTACTTTTCAAAAACATGTGGTTTGTTGGGGATAAATTACATTGGCCAGCTTCACAAATGTCCCATATGGGACATTGGTGCATGATGGCCAGCTGTGAAAATTCTAAGTTGGAAAACTGGAATGCGCATCCTCCAAATAAGGTATTTTAGCCCCCAGAGAACCTGACACACCTATACATGGGTGGTATCACTGTACATTGGCTGGCTTCAAAAATGTCCTAAATGGGGCATGGGTGCATGATGGCCAGCTGTGTTTTTTTTCATTTTTCATCATATTTTACTTTTTTTCTATTAAATTATGTGATATGATGAACATAATTATTTCTTTAGAAAGACCATTTAATGGCGAGAAAAATGGTATATAATATATGTGGGTACAGTAAATGAGTAAAAGGAAAATTAAAGCTAAACAAAAACACAGCAGAAATGTAAAAAGAGCCCTGGTCATTAACGGCAAGAAAATAGAAAAATGGCCTGGTCACTAAGGGGTTACCGCAAGGACAAGCTTGATGGAAAATTTCCCATCAGGAAGGGGTTAAATTTGGGCATTGGAGTGCTCCTTTAACTCATTCAGTCAATTTAAGAAAAGAAATGCAACTATTCACTTCTAAATACTTTTTGTTACAAAATATCAACTTCTGGGTAATTTTTCTAGATTAGAAATAAGAAAACATTGGATTTTTTAAAAAAAAATTATTCTCTAAAATGCAGGGTTTCTCTCAAATGTGATTTAGTAACTCCAATTCACTGCACCTGTTCCTTTAACATGAGCATGTTTCCACCCTAATAACATGACTCATTTTTGAACGACAATTTAATTAGAGAAATACATTAATCATGCATGTTAACCAACTCTATACATGTTATTATTAAGTTCCATCTTGTGCATAATATTGAATATTGATTACATGCCAAGTGTTTGAGGATACCGACATAAAAATCTGTCAGCTAAGTCATACAATTAAATTAAGTAATAATATTGTGTATAGAGACTATTGTTCAGCGTATTTAGGACAAAAAAAGTAGCATGCTTCTAAATCAATGACAAAGATCCCACCTTGAATGAATGGCAATGATTAAGGCACTTCTGTTACACAAGGATTTTATAGGGCTAGAAAAAGCCAAAAGTGGGTTGTAAAATTAATTAACGGAATGGAAGACTTGAGTAAAGAAAACTGGCAAAAAAAAAATTAATGTGTGTACTTTAGATAAAAGGTGACTTAGAGGGGATTTGATAACATGATGCAAATATATAAAGGCCCAGTATAAACAGCTCTCTGGTAATATGTTCATTAATAAAAGGCAAGAGGTCACCCCTTTAGACTAGAACAAAGGACATTTCACCTATAGCAGAGGAAATGGCTCTATACAGTAAAAACTATTTTTTTTTTAATTATTATTTGGGGATGTTTGAGGATATCATAGTTAATATTGGATACCTGCTTGTAAACCAAAAATAATTATGTAATTATGTAATTGTGCATAATGTATTTTTTCATTCATTTGATAGTCTTTAATGTTTTTTTAAAGAAAATAGGGTAAATATATTCCATTCATGTGGCATATATTATTTAAAATATGAGACTGGTTCTGAAATATTAGTTGATATGCTTATTGGCTTCTAAGGAACCTGTTTGCATTTTTCCAAATTTAGTCTCCTAAGAACTGCCATCAGAAGCTAAAAGTACTTTTTAATAAATGTATCTATAACCATTGGTGGAAAGGTTGGAGTTTATCAGATTGGTTAATATCATAAAGTTTAGTTGGCTATTTAAACACATTATAGGTTCTTGTTGTATACAGTATATGCGTACATAGTGACAATATGTCCCTTTTGCCCGGTATATAAAAAAAAACCCACAATACAATTTAGTGTAATCCAGTAAATAATATCTATAGTAAATATTATCTGGTTAGTATCACTGTGGCTGAACCCTCTACCTGGCTTTATTGTGTAGCATTTCGTAAACCCTCCAAGATGGAACCCTTCCCCTTTAGCCCTTATTTACCTCTATTTTGTAATTTTGTAAAGGTGTAAGTGAGTTAAAAACAATGATTGTGGACAAAATATAAATCATGACAGGAGACATGACAAAGCCTTCAAAATAACTGTGATCACACAGCTAGTCATAGCTACTCCTATCAACTTAGTTTTAAAAGCCCAAATACTTGATGTTCTGTAACTGACAGTCGGAAGGTGGCGGCTTACTTTATAATCTAGGCGAGCCGTTACCTATAGTGGCAGTCAATAGCTCCCTGTTAGAATTGGGTACATTTAGCAGTCAGGAAACAACCACTACTCACTAACAAGTGGCGACAAGCTAATTTGTGAGCGGAGGCTGGTGACAACATTGGAAACCA